ACCGCTCTTGCTGCCTCCTTCATTTTTCTTGCAGCAACCAATCTGACTTCAGCTGTTCTTATCCTTGTTCTTGTATGTTCAATCTCCTGTGTAGCTCTTAAAACTTCTGATCTTGCATCTTCTCCCACTTTTTTGAACTGCTCCACCTCAGAATTCAAGCGGTGGAGCTCCTTTGAAATATCTAAGGGATTCTCCGAACCACCTTTACTTTCAGCATCCTTTGCCAATTGTAGCTTCAGTTTTGTTTGATTTAGCTCTTCTTCCAGGGATGGTATTTTTGAAGAATTCTGAGTCAACCTTTCACGGGTCTTGTCAAGTGCAAACCTTTCCTTCTCTAATTTCTTGTTAAATGAATCAACAGAAGATCGAATGTCAGCAAGATCAGTTGTAGTCCTGCTAAGGTTCAGCTTTGCCTGTTTCAGCTCCATTAAGATCAATCCAGGAGCTGCAGAAGGGTAGGGGCATACGCCTTCTACGGAATTCAAATTACCTCCTTCAATCACATTGTTTTCCTTCTCTTCTTCTTTCAACACCGGAGTCACATTTGTTTCGCCTGCATTTGCCTGTTGGACTGAATTGACTTCAGATGCTTCTTTCTGCAGCTTTTGCTTCAGCTCGTCCATAATCAGTTTGGTCTTTTCCAGCTCTTTTAAAACATCCAATGTTTCCCTTTCTTTCACTATTAGATCTTTCTCCAAATGTGATGCCTGCTCCTCCAGTTTCGCTACATCAAGCTCTTCCACTTCATGCTGCCAAAATCAGGAGACCAAAGTCAAGAAGACGGTCAAGTAAGTCAATATCAAGACCAAGAAGAAGGGAGAAACAGTCATGGACAACAATAGAAGAGAAAGACCTCAAAGTATTATAAAAAGGAATAAAATTAGACTGCAGAGATAATTCCACCAAAGGAACACCAGATAAATGAAAGTGAACGCCACCCGCAAATAATCAGGAAAAAAAAAATAGAAAAAGGAAGTTTGATAATCTCATTGTCTTTACACCAATTAATCATACGAACTCTGGGGAAACAGCTTCCTGAATCTCGCATTTTGAGCTACCTTGTTTGTACCCAATGTAATAACCAAAATTCCAATTGGTATAACGCAAAATTCCTTCCGGCAGTTTCTGTCTTTGAAATGAATTGGAAGAAACAACTCTAATGACCAGAGAGTAGTCAAATACAGAAATAGAAATTACAGTAATTCAGGGGGGCTTGGCCTCCACCCTCCATCAAAACTAACATACTATATTTCTAACCACAGTCTTTTCAATACTTTCTACTTTCAATAATTTATAATTTACTCTAAACAAAGTAAATTCTTTTACCCAAAAAATCAATAAATTAAAT